CAAATTGCGATGAACTAAACCATGAGGACCATACACAAGTCATACATCCGGTAAATGCGTGGGAACCCGGTAACGCGTTACCCTGCGCGTTACACACATCAACACCCAAATTCACGAACATCTCTCGAAGATTTATGAATTTCTGCGTGTTATTGGAAAAGAGACCTACTTCCATCTATACCTTGATGGTAGCGTCAATTTTACATTTCCCAAAGCAATAACAGCAATATCCATATCGGAAGCGCTAATAATGACTTTGCTACTTGTTGGTAGTTTACCAAGATGGTAAATTATTCGAGAATCTGCCTCTTAGTGGCTGCAGCACAATTCAGTTTTTACCACATCATTTTCCCTTGTCACAAATTTATAGCACTTATCTTCATATGTGGCAAACACAACTTTCCTTCCAAGTAAAGCACAACACGTCTTTTTTGCCTATGCACGGTATAAGTAATCTATAAGAGAGGCTTTGAGCTATCATTGCGAAGTGGTTTTATGAAATTTGCAGGCTGCTTCTGAGTGGAAACAGAAATTAAGTAGGATTGTAATCTTTCCTTATTTTGATCCCAACGATCATGTTCTGCGTCCTTCATGGAAGGGGTAACCATCTGTCAAAAGTAAAATGTACTTCTCTCGCTGACACAGCACAAATCTTGCCGAGGATGTGTTCAGAAAATCGCTCAAAGGTTTACCGGAGATCTTTTAAAAGATGCAAAAAAAATAATCCATCGATTCGTAGCAGGCGTTTTATTTACAAGTGGTAAAATAAACGCGAAGCAACATTTTCGAGTCGGAGATATTCAAACTGACTGTGATCATCAACGTACGTTTTTTCGGAGTTCTAAGTATAATGGCTGGTTATAAGCAAGCTCCTCAAAGTTGAGTGAAGTCCATTGGATAACGCATTGTGCGACAAATAAAAATTTTGTATACAACAGCATACGGCAGAATTAAGACAACTAATCGATGCATTGTGCCCACAACAAAACCTAGTTTATAAATTGGTTATTCCTTTGCTTAAACACGATCTCGAGTATTACTTTCCCATAAATGGAACCGGTTTGCTTGGATTCGCGAATCATACGAACTTTTCTTCCGTCAAACTTTGAAAAAGTCAACTGTACTATCGATGCGATCTGTTCCCATATTTCTAAGGAAACGGCATTTTCCAAGTAGAAATAACATCAATTGTTACCAAATACTGTAAGTTACTTTAAATTTTTTTATTTGTTTAAAGTAGTGGTCGGTGATATTGAGGCGTTTGCATATTAAATTTGTAATTTTGATATTCCTAAAGGAATCGATCCGTGAACATTATTTGCATGAGATAGATTTTGTATTATATTTATTGATAAGAGTCGGATCCAAACGAAGGATTTTTATGTTTCCTCGGTTGGAAAATTGCATTTAATTTCAGCGATACAATTCCTTTGTTGAATTAAAGTTTTGTTTAGCATTCACAAGTGAGTGTATATTTTGAATCAGATTGTACCAGTAGTGTTTTTTTTTGTGATAAGTATCAAATTTAGCATGGGCATGTGATCAAGTACTGCATTATTTGTGTTTGTTTTTATCAGTCAAACCGATATTTTAAGTCAAACAACTTCGAAACAAACCTGAAATTTGATCGCCTTTGTTTTAGTTAAAAATAATTAACTAAGTTTACATGAGTGTTCATTTGAGTTCAATCAAACTGGAGCATTGAATTTTGAATTTCAGGTTGTAAGAGGAGATAACGGGCCAAACTTCCTCAGGTAAGGAGTATAAAAACATTCTTTTTTACTGAGCTAGGCCAAGATCTATTTGGACCGTCGGCTACCCCTCGTGGTCTTAACGCTACACGCGTTCCATTATGGTGTTGATATGGAACTAGTATAATTAATAATGCATAATAATGTGATGGCATAAAAGTCGAATTCCGATTAAGTTTTATGAAATGTTTGCACTTAGTTCTATAAACAAATGGTGAAGAAAAAATCATTTGTGAGCGCAAGAAGCTTTTAAATGTAGTTACAATTGGCTTGTGTTAACTGGGATTTAAAAAAACGAAATTGTACACGATAATTATTATTATGAAACGCCAAGGTAGATTGAAATATTGTACGAGAAAAATGAGCCTATCAAATAAATTGGTCCTGTTCTATAGAAATTGGTTGTCAATGTTACTGCAGCAATTATTCCACCAGCCCAATTTGATGAGCGATATGAATTTCGCACACACTTGACGAGGTTTATTTCATTTATTGGGACGAACCCTTTTTAATGGATGACCATTATATTAATTGTTTTAAATCTTTTGTTTCGTAGATTTCGAATTCACGTTTGGTCGTTAAAGCACATATTTCATAGGACATTATTAACTGCTGCTTAGTCATATGAAAGTTTCAATTTTGTTAACTTGCAAATATTATTTACTGATTCTACTGAAGAGTAATTCCTGGTAATGGACCCGGATTATTTCCCATTCCCTTTTTATTCCAGTCAAAATTATAATGCTATGTGGTTTTTTAAAAATAAATGAATTATTAATGTAGTGATCAGGTATCTATTTATATGACGCAAAGGCGAATGTAGTCGAACTCTGCGATCATCTACAAGAATTCATAAAATAATAATATTTGATCTACTTACTGGACTGTTGTACGTTTTTGAATGTTAGATGTAGTCTAAACACTAGCAATGTAATTTGCTGAAAAATCAAATCTTCACAAGATGCTTATTCGAAAATTATAAATAGTTGGTTTTGATATAACAATTGAACTGGAAAAAAATAACGATAAATATGTCATTGAAAAAACTGTGCACTATCGATAACCTAAAGGTCAGTGATATTTAAAATTGCTATACAAATCTACTACTATGTATACAGCAATGTCGTTACAAAAATGTTTGATCCAGGTGATATTGTTTGCAAAAACGGTGATGTCATGGAAGGCATCTATATAGTCGTGACAGGTAATGCTCCCAGTTTACGATTCTCATTCACGGTCACATTTCAGGAGTATAAAAAGTGACATATCTTACCAATTATGGATATCAAGCAATTGGCTTAATGCTTATTGTATTATGGTTTTTTCGAAAATTTTACGGTTCAAAATAGAGTTTAAGACTGTGTCAAAATTGTAGTGCTAATAAAATGTATAAACGTTATTCTTTGTGTAAGGTTTTGAGAACAACTGTATAAAAAGGTTAGACAGGATTTGTCTATGGCTTTGCAAAAATCAGAATACGTAAGGGTAGAGCAAGTAGTTTTATATTACAAGAGGCGAATACTTCTGTATAACGCTATACCGGCCTCACCTTGAATCACAGTAAGATACAAATATAGTGTTATGCAATACACGATAATTAGTGGTATAATTGGACATGTGTAATTAGGCACGCAAGTCTCTGTGGCGCAGCGGATAGCGCGTTGGACTTCTAATCCAAAGGTCGTGGGTTCGATCCCCACCAGAGATGCAAAACTTTTATATTGTACTCGAACTAATTTATAAGCAGGAGGAAACGAAACGAACAACTCGACAAATCAACTTTTGACCAATTATTCGATTTTGGTTAATTTTTCCCATTTTCTGGGATCACTTTTTGACCTGAGAATCGGAATGGTGTACCGCTGCAAACTCGAGAGCACCATCGACGGAATAGTGAAGATCAAATTCGTTAACAACTAATAACTCTCCTACATCGTCCACCTTTTTAAACATTCAGAAGAATACATAACTTTTCTGTCAGTATTTTTGAAATTTCAAACTGTGAAATTTAGATTTTTTATTATTTTGTAAATTGATTCTCGGCGATTCAAATTGTGAACATTCATGCCACATAATATAAATTATTAAGGATAAATAATAATGATAATAATAATCTAAATAATAATAATATAAATCATATATAAATATGAATTTCATAACCCTTATTGCAAAAGGGACTATTTTCTGTATAGTTCTACAAATCAGTTTATATCGATTCTTGAAAACCTTTGCTCTCGCAACTCAGTTTTAAATTTCAGACACAATGGTCTCGTGATATTTAAATTTCATAAAAAAAATTTCTATTTGAAGTCCTTAATTTTTGCTACAACTAAGCCAGCATCAGCATCTGATGGTGAGAACTTAATAAAGAATATGCATGCAAAAGCATAGTAGACCTTAGAGGTTAACTGAGAGAAATAGGAGGCTAATTAGATGGCTTTAACAAGACACCATTATGAACTTATGAGATTAAGATACAAATCTAAAATTAATAACTAGATAGATGAAGTAAAGTAAGGTAAAAGTTGAGCAACCATATGGCTGGCTCATCTTATTATGAATGTTCCAGCCACAAGCATAACTAATGGGCTAATGGTGCGTTTTCACGATCATGCAATTTGCGCAAATTGACTTGTGCAAACCAATTTGTGCATGAAAACGAAAATTGTGTACTTGCGCAAGCCAGAAAATTTGGCTTGAGTAAAATCTGGATGGTAAGATAATTTGCATGTGGTTGGTGCAAATGCATGAACGTGTAAACGACACACCAATTCGACGCATGCGTAGAGGGGAATGTTAATAAACAGAATTGTTGACGTGCACGTGGCTTTAATAGACAGTGTTGTACGTTATTTTGTGTTTCTTTGTGATAATAATGTCAAAGAAAGAAAAAGAGTTCATGGTTCATAACCTCCCCCTTACAAACCTAAAATTCAACCACAACCATACAGCCCTAATTGAAACTAAACTCCCTGTTGCTTTCGACCTCTCCAAAAAACTCCACCTATTCGGCGATCCCAACGTATCCTTCACCCAACTGTCCGGTCCAAAACCCCAAACCCACCTTCTTTCTCCTGTGTCATCCGTAATGTCGACCGAGACATCACTGAATCCGAAATCCTAAAATCCATAAATCTCCCTAGAATTACCTGTGCTCTGCGCATCATCTCCCGAGCGACTAACCTCCCCACCACCTTTGTACGGATCATTACAACCAGCAAATCCACCCTAGAACACCTCCTCCAACACGGTGTCTGCATGTTCAGCAGACACTATCCTTGCGAACCATCCCACATTCCAAACCCTACTCCTAAGTACTGCTCCTTATGCACCAAAATCGGCCACCTTTCCTCCGAATGCACTACCCGCGTCCAAATCTGTCCCTCCTGTGGTGAAAACCACAAACCCAACATGTGCAAACCCGACACCCAACCCAAATGCAACAACTGTTCCGGACCCCACCCCACCTATTCCTTTGAATGCACCAAACGTAAAGAAATCCCCAGCACTCCCTCCGAAGCAGCTCCACCCAAACCCGCCGACACCCAGTCCGTCTCCTTCGAATCCTCCGCACTACCAGAAACCGCCTACTACCTACGCCAAACCGACTTCCTACGAACCATAGCCCTTACCTTCATCCATCTTTTCCCCGACCGCCGTTCGGAGGTCATCCAAGCGTCCCAAGCATTCCTTAACCGAAGAACCTGGGCATCCTTCTCCGGAAACGTGGTAGCGTTTTCCACTCCCGACATGGTGATTTCTTAATTCCGCAATCATGGATTTCGTCGTCGGTACCGTTAACTCCTGTGGTGTACGCCGCAAACGCCCCCTCATAAAAAACCTCCTGCACTCCGACCAAATACAGATTCTCCCAATAACTGAAACCAAACTAACTTCCAACGCCGTCCTCTCTGTCAGAGACTACAAAACATTTCAAAAAAACAGTTCCCTTAGGGGAGCACATGGAACGGCCTTGCTTGTCAGGGACCACTTTCCCTCCACTCGATTAACACTTCCGCCCCACGTTCAACACTTTGAATGTGTTGCCGCCACCGTACACTTCTCCAACATCAATATCAGCTTCTTCAGTTTTTACAATCCACCCAATGACACTCTCCCGGATGACCTATTTCGCTATATCTCCACCGTCCGCCACGCCGTGTTGCTGGGGGATCTTAACTCCCGAAACACCCTTTTCGGCGACTCTACCTGCAACCCCAACGGCATTATTCTCGCCAACCACCTAATAACCCTTCTTATCTGTCATGTTAACAACACCACCCCAACCTTTGTTTCGCACAACGGTACTTCTATTGTCGACCATATCATTTTCACCGAACCCCTCTTCCGCTACATCGACGCCAACTGCTTCCTAGGCACCACAATCACCTCCGATCATCTTCCATTGCTTGTCCGCACAAACTTCAGCCCGTCCCCTGCTCTTCCGCCCACGGTGATCTATAAAAAAGACTTCTCCAGAGCCAACTGGGAAGTTTTTGCCCAACACGTCACAGAGAACATTCAGCCACACCCTTCTCTCGAAACATCACAAGACGTCGATTCGAGTCGACACACTTACTAACACCATTTCCGATCCAGTCTCCATCGCCGTCCCTACGAAACCCCACCATCTCTATCGCCAGAAGCTCCCTGATAGGATACTTAATCTAATTAGGGAGAAGAGACAAACAAATTATGGCCCAACGACTAAGACACCATCTGGAGACTAGCAATCTCCTACCTCCCTCTCAGTTTGGTTTCAGACCCCTTAGATGCACCCAAGATCCTCTCCTTAAACTGCAATCAGAGATTGTCAAATCCTTTAACGGCAACTGCACTATCGCAATTTTCCTAGATACCAAACAAGCCTTAGACTCTGTCTGGCACGCCGGACTAATCCACAAGCTCCGCTCCCTGAACATCCATGATAAAATGACCAAATTCCTGCTATCATACCTCTCCAATCGAATTGCCAGAGTAAAAGTCGCCAGTGAACTATCAGATCCATTCACACCCCTCGCAGGGGTTCCCCAAGGCTCACCTCTCGCTCCCCTACTTTACATCATCTACACTAACGACACACCACAACCAGGCAACGCCAAAACCAGTTGTACACTCTTCGCAGATGACACTGCCGTTTGGACAACAGACCGCACCAGCACAAGAGCCACACGCACACTGAACGACACTCTTGCACGATACACGACTTGGGCGAATCGCTGGAGAATCCAGTTAAATCCCGAGAAAACACAAACAATATTCTTCAGACACCCCGATTACGGTAAAAACCCACGACAACACGAAATATTTGTTACTTCACTACAACCATATGCGTGATCACCACAGCTGAGCGCATGCAATAGAAATTTTCACTGAGTTGATTGGCAAACGGTGAATAGTTATATCTTGTAGTTATTCTTTACAATAATAACGGTAACCATCGATTTGCAAGCTTCCTATTGGCAGATTCCCTTGTGTCCGGAAAGTACCCAGTTGTCAGCTTTTCTCTACTAGAGTAAAACTTACATCCACCAAGTTCTGCCTTTTGGTCTAAAAACTGCAGTGGCTTCGTTCACTCGAGCCATGGGCGTTACGTTGGGATCAGAAATTCAGCAGTTCACCTTCCGATATGTTGATGATATGCCTGTTGTTTGACAGTCCTTTGAAGAAAATTTGTCCCATTTGAACCAACTTTTTCGTGCACTTGCTGCTACCCATATGACGTTAAATTAGGACACAATCAAGTTCTTTCAGACGGAGGTTATGTTTTGAGTACAAAAGGTATTTTTCCAGATCCTGATGAAACTATAGCTATCCGTGATTTTCCTCGCCCCCGGACCGTAAAACAGCTTAGAGCATTTTTGGGACTATGCCATTTATATAGGAGGTTCAACGGTGCTTGTAGTGGCGCCATTTTTCCTTTTACTGCCTTGCAAAAGAATCGTAAGTGACGTTGGAGCGAGTGAAGAGTTTGTTCCTAGAGACTTTCATTTTGGGATTCCCTGTTTTTTCCACAGCCTTGTTATTTACATACTGATAGCTCCGGAGTGGTCTTAGGATGTTAGCTGTTCCAGTTATCGGACAATTAACACCGTGTTTTAGGGTTTGCTGGTTGCGTTCCACATGGTCCAGAACTGTGACGGAGAAGGAGTAACTCGCTGTAATTTTTGGATTGAAAAAGTTCCGTACGATTCTTTTAGGTCATTCGGACAGATAATTACGCGCTTAAGTTTTTAAGTCACTGTAGCCTGCTGAACGGACGTTTAACCTGATGGACAATGATTCCCAACGAGTACCATTTCGTGGTAAAACATGTCGCAGGCAGGACAACTGGGTTCCCCCACAGCTGGGAGACGTTTCAATGGTTAAAGGTTCGATGCCCATTGCAGCCACTGTTGAGGATTATGTCGTTGGTTTGTTTGAGAGTCAAGGAGGCAACGTATGCAAGAGGACCTCTTTTATCGACCCATCATTTGTTAGCTCAACCCACAGTGTTACATGTCATCCAGAATAGATTAAATGAACATTTCAGGATATATAACGACATCATCTACATATTTTGTATTTCCGTCAAATGCGCAAGCGAATCCAACATATTATCAGGGTATGTGATGTGGGCCAAAAATCAAAGTATCCCAGCCACAATTTAGTTGGTGGTGAACCCCATGCAATTCAGGTTAGAGCTCCGGGAGATTTGGTCACGGTCGACTATTATGGATCTTTGCGCCAGGGGCGTGCTCGAGTATCTTGCATACTGGTAGCTGTTGATTCATTTTGTTGAATAAACATGGAAGACTGTCCGCCAACTATGATCTAGGCTGTAGGGAGGAAAACCCATTTTTCTATAAGGAGGCAGATAACTTAAATGAAATAGGCTGTGATCACTGAAGCATTAAATCACGCCATACTACTTTAAGATGCAAATGATATGCAAGCAAATTTATCAGAAAAAAACGATGAACCTCACAGCAACCAGTTCTAATAGAGGACGCTTCATATTCAGATTTGTTATTACCAACCATTCAAGAAGTCACTGTTTTTCCTTGTGGCGTCGTCGAACTAGAGGATCAAAATCATACGCTTGAATTTGTAGAAGCTGAAATAAACTGACTCTAAGAAGAATAAATTATCTGACTTGACACGCAAAGTCGATACTGATAATATTCATGACAGTGAATACGAGCAAGATGACTGGCGATACAACTGAAGATAGTAAATAGTCGGGCCAAAATTCCAAAAATTCAGCTCGTAGTGAACATAAAGTGAGAAGTATTACCAAAACTGTACGAACATGAGTTGAGCAATACTTGGTACGGTCAATCAAATTTTGTCAGCTCAAGAAAAAACTAAAAAAGAAGCTGGTCAAAATAACCAACAGGATCTATAAAATAAGGCTTTTAGATAATTATAATACATCGACTGACAAAGACAAAGAACAAAGCAGAATAAGTAAAAAAAAACTTAAACCTGCAAAAATACTCTGGACAACAATATGTTAATTCACGCGGGAATGTCATTCCTGTTAAGAAACCAAACCTGTGCCAAAACAGAAAGTGCACTTGTAACGGGTGGATGCGACCTTAAAGTGTAGTAGGAATGTTGTATGATTTTTGCCCTGAATATGATTATTGATTTGCTGTCTTCGTGAATTTGTGAAGTTGTACGATTCGAGAGCTTCTTGTAGAAGATGGCGACTTATTAATTGTGGTTAGCACTTGAAAGTTGTTGCGTAATGTGAAATCGGTTAGATATCGGGACATCCATTAGGTTGGTTTGCAGAAAACAGATTGGGGATCGGGTAAAAATGATGTTTTCATTCATTCAAAAATTATACATTCATATATATATATATATATATATATATATAATTTTGAAAAACTATCATCGTCAGGTGATTGTGCTCGTATGTGTATCAGTCCTCAAGGTACGTATTTGATCGATCTCGTCAATTAATAATTTCTTGCACTGACAATTAACTGAGGTCTGATATCCATTTGAGTTTAAATTTTGGATGAGTAATTGATGCTATCCAGTAAGGCTTGGCCATATTGTTATTAAAGTTAAATATACCTTCAAACCGACAGTTGATACCATCTAATAATGCTTCCTTTAATGAATCACAATATAATAAGTAATTAATTTCAGTTAAATTCTTTTTCACTTGACATAATGTTGGCAATACATATCCCAAATAACAATTGTATTCACCCTGTAAGATATCAGTTGCTTCCGCTATACCTTTCATTAACAAAGTATACTCGACTAAATCTAATTCAATATTTTTTAGCTTAGGTATGCTCAACTTGTCACAAATTTGTGGTAAAAACTCCCTAACAGAAAGAATGTTAACAATACTATGGTAGAAAGAATTCCAACGAGTTAGACACGGCACTATCAATCGGCAATTACATAAGGCTCTCATCAGCAGCTTTTGTAGATCGATGAAATAAGTTCCACAATGAAGTCAACTTCGCAACAGAAGATGCGTCTAAAATGCTGTGGCAATGTTATGTCGTCATAATCATTCTCAACATTTTCTAAATTGGTAAAATCTGGTATATACTCAATTTTAACATTGTCATTATCAATTAAAAAATCGATATCATTTATAGAAACAAGATTTGGCACATGAAATACATTAAACATTGTAGATTATAAGTTCGAAACATAAACAGCGTAGAATGGTGTTGTTGTCGTCACCTCTTGACCAAAGCTAACACATGTGTTTGTTTTTGTTTGAGTCAGAGTTGAATAAAATCTACCGATGGCAACATGTTTTCATTTTAATATATGCAACCTATTCTACCTCATCAACAAAACACAACAAACCCAGCCGTTATATAGACTTTATAGCAAATCAAGTCAGTAAACACCCAGGAAACCTTAGTAAGTCGCAGCCACCCGCATGTAAGAAAAAGAAAGAAGATGCAATAAAAAAAAATTAGAATTATATGAAAGTATTATGGGGCAGTAACTACAGGACAACTAGGGAATAGTAGTATAAAACGATCCCTCAAGGTAAAACGATCACCGTCTGGTTTAACGACTACAGCAGTTCAATCTAGTAATTTAGGTTTGAATCGTGTTGCCCGCCAAGGAAGTAGTATTCTCTAAAAGTGTCATGTCGTTGTAAGCATTAGCAAATATTTTGTTGCAAAGAAACCGAAATCGTCTTGTTTGATCTAAGGTAAGCAGTACTTTAATATTGTATAGTTTTACTGCATGTGTATATGTCGCAGCCGTTTAATGAAATTGGACATTTCATGAAAAGTCTAGACACTTCATGAAATGCAGCCAGATAGTGAAATAAAATGATATTTCACCAAGTGACTAATTATTTTAGTCACTTCATGAAACGCAACTTCTTTTCTGCCTCATGCTGAAATGTCGATTACATATAATGTACAAATAATTGTGAAAGAACACATCAGTTATCAAAAATGTAAATCTTTATTTGTTTGAACATGGCAAACTTTGGTGGCACCTAGAAGTACACATCGATTTATTTTTCATGCAAATACACCTTGCGCTGTTGCATTGTTTTCTTCCTGGTTTGCACATGCATTTAACAAATCCTTGACCGCCGCTTGTCATCATTACAGCTTCTCTGATTGACAAGTATCTAGTTGTGTTAATAGCATGTATGGAAAGGAACGCTGCACCTGCTAGTGATAAACATTCTGGTCCAAACCAACCCTTTAACATTCCATGCTGACAAGCTAATTGATTAACGCCGTTTTTTTGGTCCATGATGATGCATATTAAGTTTAGCGGATCTCCAGGTCCTCGATCTACCTTGGGTGTGCTTAACAACACACAATCGCCTTTCTTTAGTTTAGGTAACTTTTTCGTGGAACTGTTGAGCATTTTTTTTGCAGCTTCTTCAGTTTTAGTTCTAGTAGCTTGTCTTTCTCTAAGAATGTTACTTGAAGTAAAACATAACTGACATAATTGTGTATCAGCGTCTTCTTTGCTACAAGAAGCTGATATGCAATTGGGATGAACATTCTGTTGACATTTGTCACACCGCACTTTATTTTCTGAATTTAGTTCTTCTTCACAAATACAACACCTATCGAGTTGACAACTCGGATTATGATGAACAACGGTGTCCGTTACGCACGCACTAAGAACATCCGTCTCGATATTGTCAGTGTAATTTTCGTTATTTTCAATATCATTTTCCTCATTTTCGCCATCATTGTCCACATTTTCACTAACATTTTCACAATTAAGTAGTTCCTCTGCTTCTGCCGGTCGATCATTCAAAATCTCTTGCAATTCTTCTTCGGTTTCTATAGTCTTTGCCAATGACAATGGAATGTTACTAGAAGTAAGGCCAAGTTTTGGGTCACTTCCTAACAGAGCCTTGTATGGTGAACGTCCAATGGTTCTATGGAAAGAAATATTTTTTTGCCATTGAACAAACTGTAAACCAATGGACCATTTCTTAGAATTATTGTCGTGCATCCAAGCGCGTATCATATCTTCTACATCTTTATTGGCCCTTTCAATGCTCCCTTGGCTTTGTGGATGTCTTGGGCGCCCATGTACCAGTAGACACTCTGGCCACATTGTTTTCAAGTCGGTGATTATGCGGTTAACAAATTCGCGACCATTATCGCTCTGAAGGATCTTCGGGGCCCCGATTAACAGAAAAATACTTAAGAGTTCTTTAGCAACTTCTTCGGCTCTCTTAGATTCTAATGCTCGCAGAAAGATGAATTTTGTGGAATGGTCCTGATAGTTCATAATCCATTTGAATTTACTATCAGGCATTGACTGGAAATCAATTAAGTCTACCTGGCCCCGTTCATTAAAGTCTTTCGAAACGATTGGCCGCACAACTATTTTTTTCCTTCCTTGCTTTTTTTCATTGCATGGTTCACAGCATGAGATAAATAATTCAATTGCTGGACGAGGAATACTGTATTTCATACGTAAAGCAGCTTCCATTTTAATTCGTCCCCCATGACCAGTTTTGTTGGTATGAACATCGTCCAGTTTTTCATATAGCTCCTCATATGCAACCACATATTCTATTTTATCTTCCGCGCCATGTTGCTTAATTAGATATGAGTTATTTCCCACAGTCATTACATCGTACGTGCTTAATAAAAAGTATTCTCTCCTTTCTTTTCGTCCGCTATAAAAAAACAACATTAAGATAGAGTAGGTAATAGCATGTTACTGTACTTACGTTTTACTTTTAGCTATTTGGATTTCGTTAATCATTGACTTAATGATATCTTTTGTGAACGGTTTTTTATTTGGTTTATCATTGTAATAATTTAACACCTTTTCATAAAATAAGTTCTTGCGCACACTAACATTTGAATCGTTCTTCTGTGACATTTTCACAAGGTATGTCAGATGTAAAAGTATTTAAAGACTGTTCGCACAACGACCGCTATCTAAGAACTGCCGATGTAAAATAAAAGGAAATGACTCATACTGTTTGGGTTGGAGTTTGTTTCAGCATGAGGCAGAAAGGAAGTTGCGTTTCATGAACTGTCTAAAATAATTAGTCACTTGGTGAAATATCATTTTATTTCACTATCTGGCTGCATTTCATGAAGTGTCTAGACTTTTCATGAAATGTCCAATTTCATTAAACGGCTGCGACATATATACATGCAGTAANTTGTGTACATGGAAAATCGTATTTAACTTGAACTTCCAAAGCCGACTCGACAGCAACTCATTTTTGATTGCCTGTTATAATCTATTCTCAAACTCTTGTCGAACCTTTTCAAATGTTGGTTTTGCAATATTTCGACATTCTTGAATTATTCTCTGTCTTAGTTCGTCTATGTTCGCCGGTTGCGTTTTAAATGCGACAGATTTCAAATGTATCATATAAGTTTATTTTTTGATTTCTATCATAATGACTAACCTAAATGTAATGCTATTTGGTATGGTTGGAAAGCATTTTTTCAGAGCTTTCCAACGACGTATCACACATGGGGGGTCACTATTTAAGATTTAAAAGTTGGGGTGGCTAGGGCGCAGGGGGTGTGAGGGGGTGCGTCGCCACTATGTCATTGTGATTCCCCTTCCGAGTTACCGAAACGGATTTTGATTTTTTTAAATATCTCGTTTATTTACTAAGATATGGGGGGTGGTAAGTTTTCAAATTGTCACCCTGTATATAAAGAAATATATATGCAGTAACAGCATCTGTGTATAATAAATAGTAATTTATGTTACAAGAGCTGAAAATGCGTTATAGCGTAATGAGCGTTAATGACGCGTGAGGCCGCAGGCCGAACGCGGCATGGAAGCGAGTTTACGCTATAGTTTTCAGCTCGCGCAACATACAACATTTTTTGTGCTGCTTTTATTTATTGAAATATTTAAATAACACACATAAATAACATTTAAAAGGTATATTGGGTTTTTTTTTCTAAGCAATATTGCGTTGGTAGCTCTGCTGTTCGCCATTTTGATATTTGAATTTGAAATTTCTTTGATTTGAATTTTTTTATTTACGTCAAAATGAGTATACCAGAGCACGTACAAGTTTGCGCCAATAAGGCGATGGCAAATCTACTGCCAAAAAATCATCAAATCGATATAATGAAGAGTACGTGAAGTTCACGAAGTGGTGCCTAGACAACGGCATTACCGAATATACAGAACAAGTTATGCTAGCATACTTCCAAGTAAAATCAGAAACCATGAAATCTTCGACATTATGGACCATATACTCAATGCTAAAATCAACTTTAAACGTCCATCACAATGTAAACATTTCAAACTTTCATCGTTTGATAGCATTTTTGAAAAGGCAAAGTGATGATTACAAACCTAAAAAATCTAGCATCTTAACTGAAACTCAAATGAATGAATTTTTACAAAACGCTCCAGATGATAGGTTTTTACTTATAAAGGTGGGTAAATAACAAAACTACATATAATACTAGAACACTATAAAAGCTAAAACTATATTTACAAAACACATTCGCACACACCCTTACACACTCTCATTCATATTCTCGTTCAAACACAAATATACCTTCGTACATTATTTTTATTCTAATATGTACAGTTCTTAAAATTGTAGGCTGCGTTAGTTATTGGAATTTCTGGTGCATGTAGGCGGACTGAGTTAACAAACCTATCTACAGATAACATAAAATTCCTCGAAGATAATATTATAATTACATTGTGCGACACCAAAGGAAAGTCTGATAGAACTTTTATAATAAATAAAAACGAATGGGTCACACTGGTTCGAAAATACTATTCCCTACGTCCTGCCAATACATCTCATAATCGGTTTTTCATTTATTACACTAATAATAAGTATACACGGCAGCCAGTAGGAATGAATTCCTTCGGTAGCATGCCACGAAAGATTGCAGAGTTTCTGCATCTTCCCAATGCTCAAAGCTTTACAGGGCATTGCTTTAGGCGGAGCTCTGCTACTATATTAGCAAGGAAAGGAGCTGATTTCCTAGCAGTGAAGCGCCATGGAGGGTGGAAATCTTCTGCAGTGGCGGAAGGATACATCGAGGATTCCCTTCATACTAAAGTGGCCATTGCAAATACATTGACTGGAGAAACGGTGACCCCAGAACCAATGTCCTCTTCTCATCAAGAACCCCAGCCTAGTGCATCGTCATCGTGCTCATATGACAATGTTCAACAAATTGCAACTGCTGCGTTGGAAAATGTCAAAGGGAGCATCATTATTAAAAATTGCAAAAATTTCACGATTAATTTTAACAAGTAATTTCTTCCTTTTCATAGATGATAGTTAGTTTACAATATTCAATGTACTTTTATTTAAAATTACAATAAATATCACTTCACACACACTCCAAGTTCCCTCCGTGACAAAGGGTCTATTAAATTGTAGGTTGTAGGTAATCGGAAACCAAGAAGTTAGGCCAACGTGTTCCGCATTTTAGGTAACTTGTTGTGCTGTTAAAGGTGGAGCATCCTTCTTGGGCTTAAGGCAACTGCCACTAAAATATTCCTAACAGTGCATAAATACGGTCAGCGATTTTCACTACTTACGTATCATTGTGGGTACTTAATGACTTAATCTAAAGTAGTTGCACCCCTTTGTTGTTTTTCTTTATGATAGATTACTTAAATATTCATACTGAAATTAGGACGATTCTCTACAAATAATAATTAATACTACGACTTAAAGGTTATGTTTTTAAAAATAACTTGTCGTTCTACCGTTGCCAACATAAGTACAGCCAACGTAAATGACAGTAAAGTAACATAACTCTACATTTCACCACTTTAAAAGCCTTTTTTTGTCATAATTATTAGGTCTATAGCAGTGGCGGCTCGTAAGCTGCGTAGAAGGTAGTGCCAAATTGTGCCCTCCTCCCCATTATTTTAATAGTTACAAATTTTTGTTTTCATATTATTCCAGTTATTTAGATTTTGAGTATAATTCGAATATTTATAATGCAAGTGACGGAAACAAATCTAGCCCCTTTAATTTCTTTGGAGGCTTGTTTCATTATAAGTATACTTCAAGCATGCATTCCAGTAATTCATTTTGTGTTGTTTTAGATGAGAATTAGCGGATTTTTTTGACAAAAAATTGTATGGAAAGTGTTACTTTTTTCACGATTTGTACTATCCGTTTCCATGGCGTTTAGTCTGATCTATAAACAATAGCAACATTTTATTTGCAGTTGTATTAATGAAGCCGAAGTATCATTTTCAGCAATAGTTGTACAAATAACTATTCAAATCTTTATCTAAACAAGTACCGAAATTTATTAATTCTCTGAATACCTAGCTACTCCTTTATTTTCGGATTTATCGCTATTGTCGTGTGGTCCTCTTAAAGAAGATTCAGACACATTTCGTTTTTTAACGATATTTAAGTCCGGTAACGGCCTGCTTAATTGCTTTATTTAAAGTATATTTTCCAGAGAATGCATGGAAAAAGGTTTATTTAAATGATTTTTTAATTTGTGTATTTTACGTAACAATTAATCCGGGAAGTGTAATCTTACACAGAAGTAAAAAAAAATTGTTTGACTTATCACGACTGAAACAAGGAAAACGGCGCAAAGCATAGTAATTTACACGTACACTTTATTCAATTGTGCTTATGAGCCAAACTTCTGATGGCTCAAGTTGTACGTATAAAACGCTACTTAGGTTTCGCTCCTCCCACCCCTCTACTCCCCGCGGAAGTCCACACTTGTAGGAAAATACGAGCCAGTTTCAGTTTGGTACGGCTCGACCGTATTTGAAGTCCACGGATAAGCACAAATGAATTTTTCTTGGTACCTAATTTATCAAATCATTTACTTTTTTTGTTTTAAGGTTTTAAAACACAATTATGTACTCTAGTGAGCACAATTAATAATAGTTAATTATATTTTAAGAATTGATAATTAGCAGGTTCCTTGAGGTGGTGCCATGGCTCCTTGGCTCTTTATAGTATTATTATTCAGCCATTTATCATCTACTACGTATACTTTGTAATAGAAAATCATTAACATGCTTCGGTCTTTGCTGGATTTAGAGATTGAACTTTGCCGATCTAGATCTTTTCGCTTTACATTGCCGCATAGTTACTGAAACTAAATAGCGTCATTTGCAAGTTAAGCAGCACAAAAAATGTTATACAAGTGCAAAATGGAACTCGGCACGGCAGCTTAACTCAGCAGGATAGCAGTAGGTGCTTCGGTGGTGAAAGGTCGAAATAGATATACCTAATTTTTAACACCCATTATGGCGGATGGCTGAAAAGTGCACAAAATAATTAGGCGGCGATTCAGATCATTTAAAAATATATGCAAATTCCGCATTGCATGCACATTCCTTTTTAAAAAATGTTTCTACAATAAATTTGTATTTTTCGGTACATTTCGTATCAAATTCGGTAGATCGGTAGATGAATGGTCAGATCAGTAGATCTACCGAAAAATCGGTAGACGGCACATCGCTGTTTCCTCCTCATCGTATTTATAATGTGGATGAGACGAGTCTGAATACTGTTCCGACCAAAAATACTAAAGTTTTTGGCAAGAAAGGCCGAAAGCAGGTTGCAAGGATTACATCAGCTGAAAGAGGAGATTTCAACTACTGCAGTTATTTGCGGATCAGCGGGAGGATATTTCATACCACCAATGTTGATCTTTCGTAGAGTAAGAATGAAAATGGAACTAATGGACGGTGCACCACCAGGATCGGTGTTTGCGCCTGCAATTCATCTGGATGGATGAAAATGGAGGTGTTCACACAATGGTTTGATCACATTTTAGCCCATGCCAAACCGTCAGCTGAAGATCCCGCTCTTTTAATACTCGACGGCCACCTATCTCATACCAACAATTTAGACGTTATACTAAAAGCAAGAGAATCACATTACAATTTTTTGTCTGCCACCACATTGCACCCATAAACTTCAGCCGCTCGACGTTGCAGTTATGTATCCACTGAGCGGGTATCTCA